GTGAATGTGAATTTTTCTCTAAATCTCTTTAATAACTATTTCTCATGGTATACTATTTGTTCAAGTAACAGTGTCCTAGGAAATACTGATCCCCACATTTGTAGCAAGCAACTGCTGTCCTTCTATATTCTGTCTCTTTTCCTGTGGCTCGGGAAAATTGTTCATAATTTCTTACTCTAAATCCTTCCAAATTTTGGACAACATTTCCCGTGAAATATGAACTTTGAGACATTTTCATTATAAATTGTTATTGGAGTAGAGTTTGTTCAAAAACTTGGTTGAGTGAGTGTGAGTTTACAATCTTATTATTGGTTGCAATGCTGGTTTGAGCTCACTGATGAAACTAGAAATAAAAAATCTCTCAGAGAGAGTAGGATTTTTTAGCATTCATTAATGGGCACAAATGTTTGAAATGGTCTTGATATTTTAGAACGGTTCCAGTATTGATCAATTTGTCAAATTCTTCAATAAAGTCTTTTTGTGAGGTGTCCTCAAACCTTTGACAGATTTCCCACCTCCCTATTACCAAAAAATTTAATCAAGTTCTTCGACTTTCGCCAACCATCTCTATTACCAAACATCTGCTACATCGCCCAGGAAGAGTGATCCCACCTCCACTTTTTGTTTCTCCGATATTTCATGCATTAAAAAATATTTTTCGCATTTCTGGATCCACGAGCGGGGATTAAACCCTCAAAAGGTGGAATTTTCATTTTGGGCAGGTAGGTAGGGCAGCTAACCAGAGGGGTCTAAACCAGGTCGGTCTGAACTGGGTCGGTCTGGTTCACTTGTTTTAGCCTCTGAACCAATCAAACCAGTTTTAGGGTTTTTAACCCCCAAATCACATTTTCCCATTTCCGCTTCTTCATGCGCAAGGGGAGTCAGCAGAACCATTCTCCGTCTGTTCAGTGCGGCTACAGTCTGGGACGCCAGGCTTGGCCTTTCTTGGTGCAGTGCACTGTCGTGCATTATCTCCACGTGCTTGAAGGAAGGCGGCATGATCCCTTGCAGCCCGATCAGGGTGACTATTGCATGGTTCGCCGAGCTCGGCAACTCCTGGTGCAATGCATCGCGGCACATCAACTCCATCAAGTACTCTGTTATGTTCCCTGATTAAGGATCGAGTCACCAAGCGGTTAACAACAAAGTCATCTTGTATTAAAGAGTTAACACTCTTATTCTTATTGTGAAAAAGAGTTATTTTGTGAAAATAAATTACAGTTCATCAAACGAAGGTACTATCTTGGATCTCGTTAAAGAGAGCTCCAATCTTGTAGTTTAAAATAATATTATGACTTGTCTTTATTAATATCAAGCATATCCCTTTATATAGAGGTTAAAATTCTTATTTAAAAATGTTAATCTAATTTAGAATTGAAATCTAATTACAAATATTTTATATTAAGATATTAGAAATCCTACACTATTTAGAAATCAAGTACTAATAAAAAAAAATATATATTATTTAGAAATCTAATACTAATTAAAATTCTAACTATTTAGAAATTTAATACTAATTAGGATTTCATATTTAATTGAACGTCTATTTCTTATTTTTGTTGCGCCTTCTATATTTGCATCCAAAACATTACTACCCCTTAGTTTTCAAATTTGTCCTCAAGTTTGAATTGTGGATATAGTTGCCTTATTGGTCTTTTCTTTCTTACTCAAGAACAGGGTCGCGTTCAATCTCGAGCCAAAACAATTATTTACATTGGTGACCCAGAACAAACGGCTCATCGCAGTTATAACACAACACCTTCAGTCTCCTTTTTGTCATCTTTGCCTTTATTAATTTCTTTATAAATAGAGAAAAAGTGTTACCAGATTGTGTCATAAAGTTGCTGTCATGTGGTGTTTTCTGAACTGAATTGTTAGGCTTGATAACAAACTGAATATGATCATTATAATTGTGTTCGGTCATATTCCACAACTGTTGTTTCCTTTTAAAAGTTGTGGCCATGCTTATTATGTGCATAAGAGTGGTGGGTGATTGTATCTCGACTTCCAACCTGATTGAATCTACTAGACCCTTAGTAAACATGTCAACTTGCTGGTCTTTTCGTACTTTAAGAACACAGGTCAAGAGTCTTTGAAACTACCATTTATACTCCTCCACTGTGCCTGTTTGTTTTAAGTTGATTAGCTCTCCTAATGAATTGTTCTACAAGGGTGGACCAAATCGCAATGTGTAGAGTTCAACAAACTGACCCCATGACATCCCTGTCTCCTCTTGTTGCAGTTTGTAATATCAAAATTGAGCACTGCAGTGGAAGGTTGCCAATCCAAGCTTGTCGTTGTTAATCATTCTTTGATTAATAAAAAATTGTTCACAAGAATTGAGTCAAGCCATCAGGTTGTCCGATCCATCGTAGGTGGGAAAATCAAGTTTTGTATAACGAGGAACTCATCCGTTGTTATGAGAACTAATGTTGGATTCTTCACGCCCTGTTTTAGTGTGTCGTCTTTTCCCTCCCTGATTCTGATTGAACCAC